CGCCAGAAGGGGGGGCCCACCACATCTGTACTATTGGCGATTGGTGGTGGCCTTTCCGGGGGCCAATATACTGGTGCCCGAATCCGACGTGGCCAACTGAAGGGTACAATCAAGGAGCTGTTGTGGACTTTTTCCTTCATTGAGTTCCGAGCCGACGCCGAATTTCCAGCGCACAAGAAAGGGTAAGATCCGAGTGCGCGCGGCAAAGACTACAGGATCTCCTGGCAAGTCTCCTGCCAAGCGCCGCCGTGCCGCTGCTGCCTCCCCAGGATAAATTCTGTGTGATTAATGAAGTAGCTTCACTATTTGCGTCTCTCTTGATGTTGCGACTGCCATCCCGTCTTTATCCACGTTTTGGAGGTGTGTGGATGCACTTGTTTGATGACAAGGAGTATGTTAGAAAGTTTGTATGCACGGCAGTCTCGACATCAGTTGATTGCAGGAAAATGGCACTGCATTTCAGTATGCCAGTGCAGACGCCCTGTTTGTGACACGTTTTTCACATTATTAGAGATTTTTTCTGCTACCCAAGTGGCACACACCACACTACAAGCTGTATATATACAGCGCAATCCCCCCATGATATACAGCTTAATCAGTGCTCGAGATGACTTGATCATTTTTTACCCGCCTATCTTCTAATCCTTTCCCGCGTTTGTATACAATTTCCTATATGTTAATGCGATGTATATACAGCGTTAGGGTGTGGAAAATCAGCCGGGTTGAAGGGGTTAAGCCATCGACTGTTGCGGGGACTTGACCTCCATGAAAGCAGGCGATTTGGGCTGTCCGCGATGGAACAGCTCTTCGATGTCCTCCAGCATGATGCCCTTCGTCTCGGGACAGAATAAGTACACAAATACGCCGCAGATACAGCACAGACCCGCGAACAAGAAGAACACACCGTTGATGTTCAGATGCGGGAAAAGCTTCACCACCTCCGTCATGACAGCACCCATGGCCCAGTTGGCAGCCGTCGACAGCGACACAACCGACGCGCGCACACCCAAAGGGAAGATCTCGGCCGGGTAGATCCAGCACACGGGGCCTCAGGAAATGGCAAAGTTGAAGACGAAGAAGGCCGAGCCAAGACAAATGAAGCAGCCACCGACCATGGGGCAACCGGCATCGTCGACGTTGCCGTCACAGATTGCGGTGAACAGGATGGCGGCAAACAAGTGACCGGTCACCATACCTACGGCTGTTGGGAGTTGTGGCTCTTAGACACGCCCCGCGAAGTAACAAACAAGCTCCTTGTTTGCAAAGGGAAAATAAGAAGACTGAATTACTTTGTGTCAGTTGCTCTGCTTCCTGAGCATTGACCAACGCTCACGGGCCTTTGCCCTCTCTCATATAACGATCTGGTTTCTTTGCTGTTCCAGCTTTCTTCAATCTGCGCCAGGCCTCGATGCACAATCCAACACGCCCTTCTCGAAGATCGGTCTTCGATGTCGAATACTGGTCTTCGACTACTTTTCTGCTCCAATGCCTGCAATCAGCAACATTCCTTTCAGTCGCTTCTTGTCCAGAGGCTTGGTGAACGTGTCGGCAGGGTTTGTTTCCCCCTCACCTTATGCAACTCCACAGTGCCTTTTTGCACTTGCTCTCGTACGTAATGCCACCGTAATTCAATGTGGCGCGTACGTCTGCTGTAGGTAGGATTAGCTGCCATCATGTGAGCAGCTTGACTGTCAATTCCTACACGCAATTTAACATCGTGCTGCGGTAACATCTCTTGCAAAACATTTTTCCCAGCAACTGCCTCCATTGTGGCTTCACACGCTGCAATGTACTCCGCCTCTGCGGTCGACAAAGCGATGACGGATTGTCTTCGTGACATCCATGCTACAGCTCCGCCTGCCAGCGTAATTACGAAACCAGTAGTGCTCTTCCTTTGATCTGGGTCATTAGCCCAATCACTGTCACAGTAACCATGCAACACCAACTCCTTCGAGTTGTTCCTTTTTTTTCTCGTACTTGATTCCATAATCCAAAGTCCCGGCCAAGTAGCGCAGCACTCTCTTTACCGTTCCAATATGCTTCGCCGATGGGTTCGCTACGAAGCGACTCAGCTGGCCTAATGAATAAGCCAAGTCCGGTCTGGTACTTGTAGCCAGGTACATGAGCATACCAATGGCTTCACGGTACGGAAAGCTGCCGTCTGCACTCTCCTTCTCTCCAAGAGGTGTGAGCCGTGAATTCACTTCCATTGGATTTCCTACTGCATGTGCATTTTCAAATCCCAGCTTGCCAAGAATCTCTCTTGCGTACTTGCCTTGACTGATCATAATGTACTCTGACGTGTGAGTCACTTCCACACCTAAGTACTGTGTTAACAGCCCTTGGTCCTTGAGACCGTACGTGTTGTCCAAGTCCATGAACAACTGATCTTTGTACTCCTTGCTGTTTGTTGCAACCAAGATATCATCGACGTATACTAGCACGTATACCATCGTGCCACCATCAAACAGGTAGTACAGGCACGGCTCCGTCAACGATCTTTGGTATCCACGCTGAATGAACCAATCATTAAGTTCTGAATTCCATTCTCGACCCGATTGTCTTAATCCAT